TTTCAATGACAAAGCCAAGAAAAAATATCACAGAAATTTATTGTAAGTTTTTATTCTGTTAACATATAATTACATTGAAGTGGTACATTCATGTACTTTTTTGTTTATTCAAAATTTGTTGTTCAAAAGCGATTGTTTTGTCTTTGCTGTACTTCCTGTCTAGAAAGGCAGCAGTGCACACATCTTATCAGCTGTGTGTAAACTGTTTGTAAATAGCAAATAAAGAAAGTGGCTCAACTTAAAACTATTTACCCTCAGTTCAGTTATGTTTGTAAACCATGCATATTAATGAGATGCACTAGTTGGGTGTACACTGGATAAACACAAACTTGGCCATTTGTTTGCACACAAGAAAAAAATCAGTTTACTTGTACAAGATATTTTTTTTTCAATAAAATAAAAACACCAATGTATGTAGCATACCATATTTCATTTATTTGAGCATGCGATAAACTTGTTCCTTTCAACTGGATTTAGTCGCAAAGGACGTTTGTTGAGTTTAAACAACAACACAAATTTAGGTTGCTCAAAATCTCGATGTTCGGTTAAAGCGCGGTGGTCATCGCGCAAGCGCGAGTTCGAATTCCATGTAAATAAACAATGTATTTTACACACGTTGTATACGTCGCTATGAGTCCCATGTCGAACAGGACGCGGCACGACGACTACCGCTCTTTAAATATTATGTTCGAGTTACAAAATTTGGACATTAAACAGCAACAAATCGCAGCAAATAATTTATTTTTACTCGATGTCAATTCAGCGGCTCAACTAAGCAACCAGCATACTACATATATTAAGTATATTGGGTTATTTTTAGTTCGTCATGTGAAAAAGGGATCCATACTGCGCATGTCTGCCAATGCGTAACAATCAGGCTGACCCGGTCATGTCAGAGGTTGAATTAGTGGTGAGCAAAATAAAATGTGAATCGGCATAATTTCGGCTCGCAGAATCAGTGAGCAATAATTTCTCTTGAAACTGATAAAGGGTTTAGCATTCTAAATCGTCACGGGATCTTTTTATGTACATGTGTACCCAGAACGTTTTTTATCTACTTTCTTTTTTTGATATAGTGGTATATACATTTCCATACTACATTTTAAAGAATACAAAGACTTTTAAATATAAATATTAAATAGAAGATATGGTTCTTCTACATCGTCTTCTACTCACCCACATTAAGTTAAACGTGGCGCTTTTGTTTACCATTTACGACTAGGATTCCTTTACATAGGTGATCCGAAGATCGATTAGACCTGGTGTGACTTGTGGACGTGTAGCAAGGATGAAGTGGTTATTGAGATCACGTGAGACGAAGTAAGCGTGTTGTACGAAGCTAATTTGTGGTGCGATGTGATCATGTGGTGCGATGAGGCTATGTTGTATAAAGAGACTTTGTGGCGCAAAGCGGTTTTAGTACGAAGTGACAGTGCCCCTTTCATGCAGTGTGTCACAGTTTATACCGAAGCACGCCCAGCTTCACAGTCCTACACAATTAGTGATTGTTCACATGCTGTTGAACTTGAGTCACTCTGCAACGAGTTTATACAGTCCGTATCTGCTTTTTACCTAGCCCGTACCATCTAAGATGAAAGGGAAAGGTATATTAAGGGAACAAATTTGTCCGGCGTTGTCGTCGCTGTTGTTGTTGTCGTCGTTGTCGTCCTTAGTAATTGTTATTGTGTGCACAATAACTTTACTAATTCTATTCCAAACTTCATCAAACTTGATCACCTTATTCATCAGTATAAAGTTTTCTGAGTTTGAACAACAGATCTCTTGTATGAAAGTATCATGCAACAATTGAGAAAATCTGATAAGATATTTTGACTGTTTCTACTTGACTGATCATTGGTGATACGCATCAAAGGTCACTGATCTCAGTGGAAATATGCATTGTTGTATGTGTTCAATGAAGCAAATCATTTATCTTGTAATAATATCGTTGGTAATGTGTCTCCCAAATCTTATGGGAATACTATACTGGGTTTTAAAACCAACTGATGGAGAGATTTTGTGCGCAGTCTGATACACATTTGCAAACCTACCAATAAAATTTTTACATAAAACAAGATGTCAGAAAATCAATATAAGCACTCCTATGAATTGGGTGCCAAACTGAACAAGACCTGAAGCTAATAGAAAATCTGTTTAGTTCAAAGTTATCAAATCAAAAACAATACATAAAAAATACATAAAAAGCAAAACGTTGCATCCACATTTTGAAAAGAAAATTGTACTAAAATATATGTATTTTGTATTTGACAAACAGTTCATTCAACAAATGAAAATTCAGGGGAATTTGTTTCAGCTATTAGAACAGAATGATATAGTTTTTATAATACTAATTTAAAAAACGCACTTCAGAAACAAAGATTGCAGTATTAGAACAGAATGATAGAGTTTTTATAATACTAATTTAAAAACGCATTTCAAAAACAAAAATTGCAGTGTTTGAAGATGTAGATGCTCGGGAGGCAACAGTACTGTTGACTTCTCTCTCCACTGGACACCAACTAACTATTTAAGTTGATTTGCATACAAAACAGAGCTTGCAACATGATAGCTATTCATGGAGGGTGTTTTTATTTTTACTTTTCATATTATACAGTAGTTACACAATGAATATAATAAGGCAGTTCATATTTGTCTCAGTAAATCATTAATTTTTTACATACACCTGTTCAAAATATTGGACAAAAGCCAGCTAAGATTTTCTGTTATCTTGCATGTTTTATGAATCTATTCACGTCTAAATGCAGCACTTTTTTTCTGCGATGAGACATTTGTTTTTTATACTAAAATATCTGAATTACTTTGAATAAAGCTGGAAATTATGTCCCTTAAAATAATTAAACAAATTAGGCACCAATGTTTTTGTAAGATGTTTACATATATTAAGGATATTCGGTAGACTAATTCCCCGCTTTTGGTTCAATCCCAAAACTTGTTTGTATTCAAAATTAATTATGACAATGCATATTTATATTGAAAACTATGATAAAGGGAATAATATTATATAACAAAGGGCAAGGTCACCAGAGTTCAACTATGTTTATTACTAGTAATAACATAACAGCGTAGATGCTAATGTACGACAGTGTTCACTTCACACCCTATACGTTTGGTTATTTTCAGGCACGAGTTCTCTGTGTTAAGCAAGCACGACCCATCTAACTTGGCGTATACTGGTGCCAAGTTGGCACTGCACACCGATCTGCCCCAGTATGCATATTCTCCCGGGGTAAGTTATTTGAATACACGGACGACCGTATGTAAGTCCAGCACACTTAGTACACTGAGTTGTCGCTACACACCGACGTACTACCGCAGTTCGCTTATGTTCCCGGGGAAATATAAGTAACTGACCGGGAAACACGCATTACCAAAAGCACGTAGTTCCCAGTTGGCGCTAAACTCCCGTCTACTAATTTCAACAATCTCAACATTTCAATATGTAACGGTGTGTAAAGTGGTCAGTGGAGGCACAGTCACTCTCCTAGTAGAGTGACTGTGGTGGAGGGCACTCACAACTATCTCGTTTCAGACAAAAGGGGTTTTGATTCTCGTCATCGCATCAGTTGGATCCAAATCAAATGCATATATATCTTATTTTTGTAGTATTAAATAATCTTAATAAATTTGTCAATTTTCCCTGGGACGAGAAACTTTGTTTTGGGAGTTTCTATTCATTTTATGCAAAGCATAACATTCGTGGTTGCTTTACCAATTGTACTATATTCCTTAATGAATTTCAAGTATGTAATATTGATATTTATATTAATTATAAGTTATTTATATTGACCCATTTTACATGTGTAATATGTCCACCATGTATGCATTTATATAACAGAAATCCGCCGTGAAAATGTGAGATTTTATTGCGAGTCAGATACAGAAATAACCGCTTTCAGTTTTAAACTCACTTGATATATAGTGCATAACACTCCGTTCGTACCCACAGATCCAACTGTTACATTGTATTGCCCAGACAAGTTATGAGGGCGGGGTTAGTGAGTTTGCTGATGGCATTAATGCCGCCATGCAGCTGAAAGAACAAGATCCTAAAGCATTTCACATCTTAGCAACAACAATGGTTGATTTTATAGATACTGGGACTGACGCATATCAGTTCCACCTGAAATATTCCAGGCCATTGTTCACGTAAGTTAACTTTACACAGCTGTTGATCAATATTTGATGGTCTGTATTTGCGCGAATACCATTATTCTTGCGACGTAACTCATTCGTCAGTTTCGGGCCGAGGATAAACAAAATCCGTCTAAAAGAATCATTTTTTGCATGCTGCCAAGCTAATGGCAAAATAACATCACAATAATCGACAACATCATACAATAATAAAACAACACGCCACTACATCGTATTCATCCTATAATCCCAACAACTTGAACCAATCAGGTGTCTTAAAAGTCACCTGCATACTACATTCCTTCACAGATTGAACACTTATGGAGATGTTGATAAAGTACATTACAACAATGGTGTACGTGATTCTAGTCTACGTTTGCCATTGGACAAAGTATATGATTTCTATAATGCACTGAAAGCATACGATAAACTACTCTACAGTCACAAAAACTTGGTCACAATCAAACTGGAGGCCGGTGAGTGAATCGCATTTCTTCTTTTGAAGATAAACCAAGAATATCCCCGTGTATTTAAGAATGTTTTGAGGTACATGGAATAGTATACATGTGATGTTATCATAATGAACTAGGCAAAAGCGCTTGCACCGTGGATAACTGTATGTATTCTAAAGTGAATGCACATATGTGCGAGATTTCGGTGATGCCTCATTAAACAATCGCGAGTCTGATGTATTTTGGAAAGTAATATACAGGTCTGTACATGAATGCTAGAAAGCTTTATATATATCCCAAATTCTCAAACACTCCTCGGCATTTCAGAGTTCATTGGCGATATGTCTGACCCAAGCAAAAACAAATTTAGATACGTTGGCGTTAGGCCTAACAGTTGGTAGTACAGCTGAGTACCTAGACATATTTATTTCATGGCCCTCAACCTACCGAGAATGTTCTCTGCAAGTGAAGCAACTGAACTTCCGAGGAAGGGGAGTGGATACTGTGACATACGCTGCGACATGTATACTTTGGGACCCCAGCATTTTGGTCAAAACATGTTCACTTTTAATTGTCAGCATATTCATTCCATTTGGCAGACCTGCATCTGATGAAAGCTGAAACGAAAATACAGATATACATTCCAGTCAAATTGACGTAAATACTCAAAAATACTTCACATCGCGTATTTGAGATAACAAATTGTGCTCTAGAGTGGGCCTACATTTTTTGTGATTCTTGTCCATCAACCACGCCATCAGCGACAGAAATCAGTCGTCTCCAGACAGAAGTCTACCTACTCGTATACGACACCATAGTCACCACTTAGTGAACTGTACACGTTCATTGTTATCCTCACCCAGAGTAAACTTTGTCACTTCTCCCACTTGAAATTTCTACCGGTTATTTCAAGATATTGTTAGGTAGCGAACCTGGTCACAGCGTGGTCACTTGGTGGCGTGACCAAAACATTACATGGTTATTGTGTGTATATCTGTTATAACATTATAATTGTTCTTTACAGGTGATATGATTATGTTTAACAACGCAAGGACGCTTCATGGACGCAGTCAGTATCAAATTGATGAAGGTACATCGGGAACAAGGCATCTTGAGGGCTGCTATTTTGATTGGGATGAAGTATATTCCAGAATTCGTGTTCTAAGAGAAAGTCTTGAAATGCCTCATCGTGAATATTAATATTTGAATGAACTAAAACACTTTTGTATGAACACGAATTCCAATGATGAGGTGATAGTTGTATTATGCTCTACCTTGGATGGGTCTTGAATGGGTTTATTTACTAATTTAGGCTGTTTATATATTTCCATAGTTGTCTGATATCAGCACATTTTCCGTGTACGCTTTTCAGATGAAAGGACACGTACAATGATGTAGTATTGTCAATTGTACAACAAATTAAATTTTGAAGTGTTTGCTAATAATAAATACTAGGTTATAGATGGTGTCCCGTATATACATGTCTAATTACTGACTGATAAAGCAGCTGAGTGAATTAAAATGAAATGTATGCAAACGATTTTGAATTTATTATATTAATGCTGCTTATTCATCGGTGGAGTAAAACATTTCGAAATGTGATGGCCACATATGTTCAATTCATCTTTAACAAGAGCTGTTAAGAAAGTGCTCCCATGTGAAGTGAAGAAATAAAATACAACTATATCAGTCTCGGTCTTTACATATGCTGCTTAGTAATCCAATTAATTAATGATAAACCATGTTTTTATTATTATTATTATTATTATTATCATTATTATTATTATTATTGTTTAAATATTTTAGCAAAAACCAATATCAGTCTCAAGTGACAAAGACACCCCTCACGCAAAGTTATCACTCATTATACTAAGAATTGATGGCTTACGTGAGTTCGTGTAGTGGACTGTATTATTTTAATATATTTTAATTTGTTATATTTAATACAAATCTATGAAATGTTTACATGGAATGATTACAAATAAAATATATTATAATACATGTTAATGAACTTGACGATTAAGAATGAAAATTTACAATGTGTAAATTTGTCTAAACTTACTGTGAAAAATGATTGATATATATATATAAAACAAATAAACCTGCTTCTCTTTGTTTCTGTATTCGTGTTTGTATTTTTAATTAAAGAGGTGTAGACGATTGGCACATTTCTATGACTCCTAATTCTAATATTCAAGGCATTTAGTAAGTCATGTCAACATTCTGCACTAATTTCATACTGAATAAACTATTGTCACTGCCATAGTCCCCATTTAGGTTTTAGTTACTGTGTCAATTATAGCCATTGAAATATGCAGATAGATCATAATTAAAGTATTCAGCATTTTAAAAATGCATCCATGTTACTTGCAGTCAAAGTGACACCTCCTAGAAATAATCATATTTTCACATCGTACAAAACTGTATAATCCACACATTGGACCTTTCAAATCAAATAACAAAACACCACATCATTTGCGTTGTTCATTTGTGTCATTTGTGTTGATAAACATTGATTTTCCCACAATCCAATGTGCTTTTCTAATAAAAAATGGTTTGACCTGGGCGCCACTAACACTAATTACCGCCGGTGACTCCTTCGATACCTTCCAATCATCTAAAAACACCTAAATACCTAAATAAAGCATAGCAGTCCCAGTTTGTACTCGTTGATCTGCGCAACAGCCAAAGTCGCCATCTTTGTTCACCATGCAATAATTCTAGAGATAATGATGGGAATGCCAAGAAATGACTAATTATTATGCAAATTATTTGAACCAAAAACTAATCGGTTTGTGCATTGTCCCAAAGTTTCAATAAAATGCAATGATTGGTTCTTGAGACATCGATAGAAAGCCAAAAAAATACTAATTATCATGCAAACCAAAAACTAACCTGTCTATGAAATGTCCTATGGCATACATGTACCACAAGTTTCATTAAAATGCGACAATGATGGACAAACTCTGATCCAAATGACCTCAGAGAAACTTCCGCTGAGACGATGAAAACATAAGTAACAGCAAATTGTTTGTCTAAAATCGCTGCCAGTTGGCCATTTTTGTTCAATTCTGCAAGTATTTTACATGCATATGAAGGACATGATGTATTGTCTTTGTGTAAAGTTTGAATGAAATAAGTCAATGAGTGCCTGAAATATGACCCTGGACAAACAGATGACCCAACCAACAATTAGTAGGAAAAGGGGATGGCGTAACCTTCTCTTAATAATACAAAATATGCTCATCAAATCATGAGATAATAAGACATTTACCCACTGATAAAGACGTGTCTCTTCGTCTTACCCTTAGATCTGTTGAATGAGTAGAAATGCGAAAACGAATTAAACTAGAAACAGGGTTCTAACACTTCACAAAATTTAATAAATGAGAAACCTAACACTGATGTCCTTGCAGGATTGGTTTATTACAAAAAAACGCCTCATCACTGTTCGACCAGACACTAAATGGTACAATACCCAGATCAATGAGGCCAAGAAGAAATGTAGTAACTCGAAGTTCACCATCAAATCTTCATGGCAGAGTGCAAAAATTGTTAGAAATTACATCCAGAAATTCAAGAGTGCTTACTACACAAATCTAGTCGAAGAAAATGCTGACGACCAGCGAGCGTTATTTCACACTATCTGGTGCATCACTTCAGAAAAATCTACCTGCCTCCAAGTCACCCAAGGATCTTGCTGAACAGTTTGGGTTTTACTTCATCGACAAACGCAATCGCACTGCATTGAATTCAACAATTTCTGCAAACAATAACCATGACATTATCATCAATGCCAGTTCTTCCTTCGACGCATTTCACACAACCAATGCTAAAGAGATTTGCAATATAATTGTCAAATCACCATCTAAAATATGCACACTCGATCTAATTTCAACTTCTTTCTTGGAGAAATGTATACATATGGATCTTCTCTTCCTGACTTGATCAATGCTTCACTTCAACAAGGCTTAGTGCCAGACTCTTTCAAATCTGCAGTTGTTACTCCACTACTGAAGAAACCTAATTGATTTCAATGACTTCAAAAACTACAGACCTGTATCAAACTTGATAAATTTATGAGAATGTGGTAGCACTCCAACTGAATACATACATGTCTGATAACTCACAGATTGAACCACGACAATCTGCATACAGAAAATTCCACAGTATAAGACACCGTTCTTCTCAGAGTCCATAATGATATATGCATGTCAATTGATTCTGGTAAATCCATTCTTGTGGTTCTACCTGTACTTGATCTCTCTGCAGCATTTGATACAATTGACCACGACACGTATACTTCTCACAACATTGTCTGATCTTGGTATCACTGATATTCCACTACAATGGTTGACATCCTATCTCAGTAGACAATATCAGTCTAACAATTAATGGCATTCTTTCAACACCACAAATTATAAATTCTAGTGTACCACAGGGATCCGTTCTTGGTTCCTTGCTTTTTTGTATTTACATTTCTCCACTAGGATAGCTTATCAGACAATAAAACCTCTTCTTCCACCAATACACAGATGTAACCAGCTATACCCATCCTTCACTCCATCGGACACTTCATCCTTCATCTGCAACAAGTCGTTCTATCTTTTTTTGTTAAATTGGACATATACGCCACTATCTCACCAAACACACCTGCCAAAAACTTATTAAAGCAATACTCAGTACTAAACCCGACTATGGATTGCCATCAGACCATATCAAGCCACAGAATGCAGCAGCCAGAATTGTCATGCATAAAAAGATACGTGACCACATAACATCTAACCTTAAAGAACATCACTGGCTTCCAGTACAGGACAGAATTGTTATGTGCATCACCTACAAAGCTCTGAATAGCCTTTCAGCAAGTTGCATAGCTGACATTCTTCACTTCAAATCAACTCCTCGCACTCTGCTTTTCAGTCAAATGTTTTTTGCATATTTGCATACTCCCAACTTACATCATCTGGTGGGCGAGCGTTTTCCCTGAGCAGCTCCATGCTTATGGAGCACTTTACCAACAGAATTGCGTCAAAAACCTACAATAGATACATTTAAAAAGAATCTTAAAACTACCTTTTGACTAACAACTTTCGGTATACCTTGAAACTGGGAATCTCGAAGTGGACAGATGCACAAAACGTATATTACATTGATTTCCAAACCTACAAGTTGACGCAACAATATACATGGATGAAAATTTTGTCGCACATCAGAAGGATTAGAACAACACCCAGTGTGCATAGCATTGAGCATAGGTGACTATAAAAAAACAGTACCAGTGGCTGATTTGCTATATGCACGACATGTTGTGCTGATCCCAGCACTGAGAAGGGTGCAAGTTCTGTGCCTGGCGAGCGGGCTACACCCGTGTCACT